TAATTTTTTATATATGATCATTTATAGATAGAGCAACTGAAGCAGAAAGCAGACAAGCGAGTAAGAAGTGTAAGTATTTGTGATGTTTCTGATCTGATGTCACTTAGGAATTTCCTTATAACTAAATGTAAGTAATCACTGATACTGTTTCTTTTCATTTTTAAACCTAGCAATTAACAAAGGCTTTGTGTTTCCACACAAAGTGTTCTGTAATCTCTGCTTAATTAAACTTAAAATTTAGCTTCCTTTGCATTTACTCTTTAGTTTCCTAATAATAAAGATGACTCAGTGCTTAGTTGTCAAGCAGTTAATCTGGAATTTTGAGTCTCTTTCACAGCAGTGGTCATTTATGCTCAAATCTAATGGGATGCTTTAAGTGATTTTTGGTACAAAACACTCAGCGAGGCCATAGCTCCACAGTGTAATACATTGCCGTGTTCTGTTCAAATCTGTAGGTGCGGTATCGAGCCATAGAAGATTACAGTGGTGTCTGCTGCCCTGTGACTAAAGGTGTTAAAACATTCTTCACAACACCATGTACTGAAGAACCTAGAATTGCACTGAGTAAAGGGGATCTGATTTTAGCCACAAGAGGCTTAAAGTTAGTGGTTCTACACTTTCTCTTTTGTTAAAAGCAATATTGAGATGAGTGCTGGCATCTAATTACCTGTTATGCTTTCTTTAGACACTGGATGTATGGTGAGAAGATTCTTAACTCGGCTGTTGATGGTATGAAACAGTTATTTTCATTTTTTTTCTGTTAAAAAGTTGCAAATCAACTTTACAGCTGTTTAGCTTCTAAATAGAAACATGAGTATCATGTATTCAGTTCTCAAAATGTAGAATGACTTACTTTAATAGCATTAGCCCCTCTTCTCTTTAAAGCCACATCCACAGTCTTTACTGTTTACATTTGGTTTACATTTTCCAAACAGCTGTGAATGCACTGCATGTATGTTTCTTGTTGGCAAAAGAGAGGAGCCCAGCAGTCTCTATGTTGAAACCATCCATGCTTCTCATGGGAAGCTGGATGCCTCCATGAGCTGGGAGTGTTTTCAAACACCAAACATAAACAAGTCACTGAAATGAGTATAATAGTAGTTCGTATTGTGAAGGTTAGGAGGAGGTATCTGTGGTAAAGGGTCTTTTTTTTTTTTTTTTTTTAATTTTGCATGTGAAACGAAGTCTGGATGAAAGACTTTGTACATATTGAAAGTCTGGATGAGAACTCAAAATATCATTAGCACTTTGGAGAACTGGACTTTACAAATATCATGAGATTTGTTAACACTGCATAGCAAAATGCCATAAACAGGCAGGAATAACTAGCTTCATAAAGAAAGGTGGAAAAAATAATGATTAAGTAGCAGTTCTTTTAGGGGGAAAAGTAGACAACCATAATCTTAGGATGAGTCAACATTCACAAAAAGAGGAAGCATCTAGCTTCACAAATGCATGAAGTAATCCTTCCATCCCACTTAAGGTTTTCAGAAATTTGGCTGAAGTACTGACACAAGCAAACATCTTGCTACATCTCCAGAAAAGGGAAGATCAGCTGTAGAGGATTGAGTGGGAAACAATGAGAATATTTGGAGCGCTAGAAAATTAGATCTATGTGAAGAAGCTGAAAGAATTTGGGTTCCTTAACTGGAGAGGAAAAAGATAGCAGAAAGCCAGAAAACCTGTACAAACAGACATCAGTTGCATTAAGGTTTGTTGTAAAGCAGGTTGTTAGCTGCTTCCTGTGTTTCTAAGTAGAAGAGGAATTGTAAAAGATTCACATTGGGTGTGAGAAAAGATTGTCTAATAGCAAGGAAAGTACAGTACTGGGAAATATTGGAGATGTATGGAAACAGGTGAGAGACTCTGTGCATCCTTGGACAAATAAGTTAGGGGTGACTTCTATATGCTGCCTTGGATAAGAAAATAAATCAGGTGTTTTCTTGGTGTCTCTTTCGGTCCTGTGTTTATCTTAAATAGTGGGTTGTACTTTGTTCCAAGTTAATGTAACTTTCCGTATCTTAAGGTGGAATAAGAGATCGAGGCTGGTTCCCTAGGAAATGTGTGGAAAAATGCCAATCTGACTCTGAAACGGATCAACCAGTGGATGGAGAGAAGAAAAGCAGATAGCCTTCTCTTTTTTTTTTTTTTAAATAAGAAATGGAGTTTTTTACTTCGGACCATAATCCTTTACTTGAAATTTTCTGTATTACTTTGGACTTATGTAATGACTATGTTGGAGCAAGATTTTCTTTTCCTTGCAGTTGAGAGGGTTGAATATGCCTGTGCCATGGTTTGCATTCTTTTTTTGACAATAAATAACTGAAGAAGCCATTCAGTGGATTGCCTTCAAGATGGATTTTTCTCATCCCAAATAAGGTTTCTTTTCTTTCTGCTGTTTAAACTGCATTCTGAGCAGCCATCTTTTAGGGTTTTTTTTTCCCCACAACTGCATCTGTTGTGATGCTTGTTACATATCTCTCATATTTTGCTTTCTTTGAAGCTGCCCCCTGAACAACACAAAATAAATCTCTAATTCAAATTCAGGATGAGATTTGTTACCCGTGACTTTTAATGATGTGAATTATCCACCTCAAATAAATAATACGTTCATATTTACTTGTGGATTTAATTGTTCTTAGATCTTATAAGAACTTGCTTATGGGCACGGAAAGGTGTATTGATTGGGAAGAAAGTATTTCAGAAGTGGTTTTCTAAACTGGAAAGACTACAGCTCTTGCAATAAGAAGTCAACTAACCTCTGCTGTCTTTGAAATAAGAGCTTTTATCCAAGGGACTGATCCATCTTAGGCTGAAAAGAAGCACTAGTTCCAAGAGAGAAAACTTCTGCAAGTCTAGTCACTAAGTGATAAATGCCTTTGCTAAAACATTTTTATGTAGTGTCTGGTATGGATTATTAGAAAGAAGACCTTTAAAAAAAAAATTACCTGTACCAGCTGAAAGATTTTGAAATGTAAAGTACAGCACATGGCTTAGACTAGTTCCATATCAGAAGTTGGGAGTTTTTGTAAATGACTATTCTAAACTAACACCTGGTTTATCTCCACCTGCATAAGTTGTCTCAAGACAGTATTAAGTGTATACAGAAATAGCTACATAACAGACAAGCCAGAACTGGTACTCTGTGCTGCTGCTGAGGCAGTTTACCTCTAGCACTACCCAGGCTTTTTTGTTATTGTTTTTTAACTTCCAGCCTTCTGTGCATTACTGCTGGTGGTGAAACTTTTAGTTAGTGGTGGTGGTTTAGTGGTGAAGCTTGTAAACTGCATGGTTTACGGTCTTAGTCTTAACTGGAATGTTTTCTGTTCTGCATCTCTGAAGTCTAGGGCCAAAGAAAGATGACCAGAATAAACTTGTCTTCCAGCTGAGGAGCTGTTGAACTTGACTGTGCAATGACAAAACAGCTGCTATCTATATTGACAGTAATTAGTAGTGTAATAGAAACAAGTGGATAGCACTAATGATCACGGTTGAATGTTAGCTATTGGGAGTGGTGGGGTGAAATTTTTTAAACTGGTTTGCTTATATGACTGAATGTCATTTTGTGCTTGAAGAGCATCAGAGCAGAACTGGAGCAGAATTTTGCACACCAACATTGCTCCACACTGAACCATAACATGCCCAGGAGATTTGTTCCAGAATGAGTTGATGATTGGACTTGATGATCTTAGAAGTATTTTTCTAGTCTTAATGATTCTATATTCTATTCTAAACAGTCTAAAATGGACCGTAAAGTACATGGTTTTTGTTTTACTTCTTTCATTACAGCTGCAATTTCTCTTCAAAAAGATTGAAGAGCTCTCTTTAAGCTGAAGGAAGCACTGGTTCATGAACGCTGCCAGTTGAAGGCACAACAGCGTGCAGGGTTTCAACTTCCAAAGTGATCTTGGTGGGGAAGTTTCAATTGATAAAATGAACAAAGTACTTTCCAGATGCTGCAGCAGAAGCATTCAGCCTCAAGTTGATACAGATCTCAGTTGCGGTAGATTTACTGCCCCCAGCTGAGTTGCTCATCAGAGCCCACAGCCATTTTAAGTTTATATTTCTTTTCTCTGGTTCGTCTTCCATTCTCACCAGTCCAACATCAGCCAAAAGATTGAGGCATCAGCAATTTTTAAGTCATTTTGCTTTAAGGAAACATGCAGCACAGTTAGTTACATTTGTTCCAGATTCTGGGTCTTTATACTCTGAAGTTAAGAATCATGTGGAATGTGCGTATTGACACAACAGTTATGTGAAAACATCAAGGTCTTTGGACATAGACCAAAAACAGAACTGAGCTTAGACTGAAACAAGAGCCAATTATTATTAATTAAAGCTTCAGATGTTTCACAGCAAAGGCTGGTTATTTCCTGACCAACAAGCCTACCGGTTGCTTTCAAATATCAAACCAAAAACATCTTAAATACCAAGAGGAACAGGCACTAGCTGTAATAATCTGTCAGAGAAGGAGAGCTGATATAGAAAACCATCCCTCTATGTTACATTCTTAGAGTTGCATTACCTTTAAAAGAAAAAAAAGCAAACTGATCCAAACTACTACAAGAACAGAAAGAAAGCATTAGAAGATTGGCTTAACTCTGTGAACCCCATAAATATTTCTAAAGATAGAGAATGACAGTACTCGCTTGCCTAAGTAGTTTTCTAAAGAAACTAATGAGGTTTATTTTGCCTTAAAATAAGGCATTGCATTTAATTTATTATAGGACAAGCTGAGCGAGAGGAATGAGCTTATCCTGAAGGCTTTGACATATATTGCCTTACTAGAAGGAAAGGAAAGCTGATCAGAGGAGCAGCATCTTGTCTTGCCCTATCTTATTGCCTCATGCTGCTGGAGCTGCAGCCAAGCCATGACAGCTCAGGAAACAAGTTAGCTACAGCACAATGGCTGAAGGAAGCTATCCATGACCAGGCAGCAGTAAGGCTGCAGCTGAAATTCTGGTTGTCACAAAGAAACAAATTACCCACACAGGCTTTGGTTTGAGTTTACAGTTGCAATTTATCGCATTTTATAACCTTGAGAAGTTGAAGAGTTTGAGTTACTAGGCTCGTAAGTTTGTAACTGTACTGGCTTTATAACAGCCGTTGCATTTGAGAACATGTACTAAAAAAACCAAAAATCTGAACCAGTGCCTTCTAAAGCATGAATCATGTTTGGTTTAGACACGTATTTCATTAACCATTTTATATCAGACTAATCATACTTTCATTAAAAACAACCTACAGTGGTGCAGTCCAAGGCTAGGAGCAGGGAAATTCACTTTATTATTGCTGAGCAGATGTTAAGCTCCTATTCATATTGTCACAGCTCAAGTTGAGACCGGTGCACTGAAGAAGTTTTACCATCCTGAGGGAAAACTGAAGTGTTTTCTTCCTGCACTTTCTTTGTGAACCACTTTGCTCCTCCCCCCACCCACAACACAACTGCATGAAAGAGTTTAGTCTGATTGCAGATTAAGCCACAGAAGTTCAGAATGGAGGTTATAGTTGGAGCAAGGAAACAGCTGCCTTGTAAAGGCTGAGGCTCTTCAGTGTGAGTGTGTGTGCTTCATTCACAGCCCAAGGAAATGGAAGTTCTAGCTCAGCCTGGAGATTCTGTGCTCAGCCCTGCAAGACTGGGCATTGCCAGTCAGATGTAGCCGTCTTCATCTGAAAGTCATTTTTCATAGGATGCCAGAAAGTTCTCCTTGCTCCCTTCCACACAAGCTTGTGTTCTCCAGAGGTCACATAGTGTTACAGATTTGTTTAGATACTCCATGAAGTATAATTTAAATGAGTCACTTATTCCTGCATACTTGAATAGAGGGCTTCAATCTGCTTCTGGAAGACTTTAACAAGCTCTGCTCTCTTTGCCTTCAGTGTTGGTGTCAAGAGTCCATTTTCTACAGAGAACAGCTCTGTGTGTATGTACAGGTCTTTAACCTATAAAAGAATACAGTTTCACAAGTGACGCTTACAGTATTACATGGAGCATAAGCAACAGCTCTTCCCAGCCTTCTCAAGCTTAGGACAACAATTCAGTCTTAAGAGCGCTAGTAACTGAATTGCTTCTCTGATGCAGGAGTTAAACTCCTGACTGAGAGTCAACCTGTGGGAAACTTGCATTTTATTCCATAGCAATTGCATCTGTTGCCCCAAGCATCCATCTGCCTCTTGGTCAACAGACAGGTAACTAGCCAATGTTTCCATGCCTATTGCATTCAGTTGTCCCAAGCAGCTGTCTTAGGTCCCATTCCAGCAAGAATACAGACTTCCCAGCCATTGTGTTAGCAATACAGGTACTTGTGACAAGCAGGATTTGAAAGTACTCACTTGTTCAAAGGACTTAAGGCCAGCTGCTTTCCCCAGTCTAACCAGATCTTCTAAAATAGCTTTCTTCACTGCCTGGAAGAGACAGGAACAGTGTGGGTAAAGCTACGATTTGGTAATTGGCTCAGGACACAATCATTGCCCAGTCAGAGAGAAGGGAGGTTGGCAAGAATATGTATTTGTAATATTTGTAATATGTGCATGTATTTCAGCATTCAACATTTCTCACATTAACACCATGACAAGGACATGCATATCTTCTCACTGGAAAAAAAGAAGTTATAGTCCTTGAAACTTCCAGGAACATCTTTATTAGTTCCATCTTCTACTTTAAGGACATTTGCATGTTTCACACAGCATTAAGCCAGTTTAATTTATAAAAAGGTGGGCAAAAAATGAAGCCAAGGCAATGCATGATTGGACTTCAGAATTTAAAAAATAATTTTAAAAATCTACCTATAACCCACTGAAAAGGTGAGGCCACTCACTGGATTTTTGCAGGTATCTTCATAGGAACCCTTTACACCCAGTTTTGCTGCAAATTCTGGAAGTGTCTCAGCATCAGGAACCACTATACCTATTAGACAAGACTGAAAACAAATAGAAGTAGGACAGACATGGAGTTATTGGGATTGTCTGTGTGAGAACTTGATAGTTAACAATATATACCAGGCTAGATCTACATCCCCATACATAGCAGTCAAAGTGCTCATGCAGTTTGTTCTGCACTAACCACTGCAGCAAATATTACTCACTGGTAAAATTGTAGAGCAACTGCACAGAGCTCACATGACATATTAATCCCATACAAGTATGTAATTAACCTTTACCCAACTTGCAACTTGATACCAAGATTTCTTTTTCTTTAGCGTAAAAAAGGGAAGGTTGTAGACAGAATATTTCTATTAGCATTGTGCTGTCGGGAACAAATCGTGTTCAAGCACTGGTATACTTTAATGTTTGTGCTCTGATCTTCCAGAACTCATTGTGGGAGGAATCTTACAGGATGCTCATTCTTAATATTACTTACCCTCAGGCTTTCCCCATGTACGAAGACTTGGGCTACAGCAACACTTCTGATATAGACATTTTCTATCTTCTCTGGAGCAATGTATTCTCCTTGTGCAAGTTTAAATATATTTTTCTTCCTATCAATGATCTTCAACGTTCCATTCTAGAAGTTAAAGGCGGAGGCCATTAGTTTCAAGTCCCTGACTTGCTTCTCTGTGCAGAAAAAGATAATGAGTTTGTTGTAAGAAGGGCTCATCCTAGCCTGGCACCTGTTTTGGCTCTCTACAGAATAAAAAGACACTGTTTGATTTCTTCAATTAGCTCAGAACATGATTAGACAGTTCCTTGCTCTTCTCTGGCAAAAAATGAGATACTTTGCTTTTTATTCTACATGTGACATATTCTTAACTACTGGCCTAGCAGGCATTACGCAAGATCTTGTAACCTGATTGGTCTTTGGAGCTTTGTCTGGAGTTAACATGGTGGATATTGAACAAGGTAATTTGTGAGGCTTTTATTCTGGAATTTATTTGTCCAACTTTGCAGAGTACAGGTAATAAGGAATTCACATCCAGGGGATGGTTTATTTTAAGCAATTACTCACTGGCATCCATTTCCCTACATCTCCTGTGTGAAGCCACCCATCTTTGTCAATTGCTTCTGCTGTCTTCTCGGGGTCTTTCAGATAACCCTTGAACACATTTGGTCCTTTTATGCAGACCTATAGTAAGCACAGGATACTGTTGGTCACCAAATCTTATGTTTCAGTATTTTGACACACACAGGAGATGGTACCTACCTCGCCTTCATTGTTTGAAGAGAAGTAGTTCATTTCTTCCACGTCATCTAGTTTTATGATATTACAAGCCAGTGGGGGTCCAACATGGCCTAATATTAAAACAAACAAACAAACAAACAAACAAACAAACAAACTCCAAAAAACCAACAAGGATAGTTAACAGTTTCTGGATTTGTATATTCTGTAGATGGGTCTATATGATATAAAACTTGAAAGACTAGATCTTTGAATGATTTGGGAGAACTCAGGCATCCCCTACATATGAAGACTTAAGTGATAATAGATACTTAGTGGATCTATTCACTACTTTAGTAAGAATCAGTACTGTTTAATGGGGTCTGATACCAAAAGTCAACAACGTTGCCTTTTTCAGACACTTAATGCAGGAAAAGTAGGAGCTAAGTCTCAATGCTCAGAGCCACTTACTGTCTAATCAGTCAGACCAACCATGTGCCATGCTTGCTTTCACAGACTTCCTATTAAGCGTATGAGTGATTGTTGCTACCAAGAATCACTTTGAAGTTTTGCATCCAGAATTTCTTTGTTACTGAACTTAAAGTTTCAGTGCCACTTTCTATTGGCAGTTGTGCAAGAGTTTACATGTCTCAACTACCATACCTGTAGTCCAGTCTCCAGGCATTGAGAAAGTACATCCAGCTGAACATTCAGTCTGGCCATAAGCTTCAAAGACCTGTGCGAGCAAAGATAAACATCCTTTGAACACCCAGCCCCCAATATGAATGAGCTCAGTTTAAACTATATCTTGCACAGGTCTCCATCTAAAGAAGAAAGCCAAGATAATGTCATTGTATTTCAGACGTCCTGGTCTTATTGGTGTGACTAAATGTTCTTCAACTTCAGCTATCCTGATCTTGCTCTGAGCACCTCATGCTCTGCACTCTGTTCTGAAATGTGCCACAGTGGGAGCTTGTGCACTGTCAGGATAAGCCAGAAGCACAGAAGCAACTGCCTGACTTGCTGAAGACACTTCATGTTGCTATTTGTGCTGCCCTGTTCCTCTTCCTGAAGCCTAGAGGATGTTTTTGCAGTACTGTTGTTTGATATCAATTAGCCCTGCAGAATTTTCCTTTACTGCAGATAACATGAATCAAGAATCCTTTAAATACTGAAGACCCTGACAGCAGTCCCTCCAGGCAGAAAATGAGAGGGACTACAACTGTGTTACTCATTATGTCCAAGTGACCATCAAAGAGATTTTCAAGGAAAAAACCTCAGCTTACCTGACAGCCCAATGCTGATCTGAGAAATTTCAGGACAGAGGGAGATATAGGGGCTGCACCTGTTACCATTATACGCACTCTTCCACCCATAGTTTCCTACAAGTGAATTAGAAGCCATCAGATCAAACTTCCAATGTTATATTGCTCAGGTTACTTACACTTGGAAGAGCTTACCTGAACTTTTTTGAAGACTAGCTTATCCAAAAGGCTGTCATTTCGAATTATGCCCTGTTTCACTTCAATCATCTTCATAGTTGCAGCAAAATTTAACAGGAATTTTTTCACTGTTGTGTTTGCACCACTTTGTATCTGCAGGAAAAAACCATCTCTGAGGTCTTTACTCACAGCTATACCTCCAGTTCTTGCTTCATTAGGAGGCACAGTGCATTACTTTGTTGCTGTAGGATTTGTCTTCATTACTGCCATGCTCTAGGAGGTACACCAAGGGGCAGTGCTAATTTGTATTGGTGCTGTCACACTTCAGGAACAACAGGGACTAGTGATGCTTCTAGAGTAGCTTTTGTTGTTTGTTTGTTTCATTCTGAAAATAGACATAATCTTTCTCTCTGAACAGCAGCAGTCCTATCTCAGTCACAACTGTTCTTGTATTTCAGGGATCATTAAAGAGTTCTTTCTCCTAAGGAATAATTAACCTAATGGTGGTGTTATGATCTTGAATTTAAACATGTATACTTGCTTCGATGCATGAACATTAAGATAATTTAGCTAAAAGTTGCTCACATACCTTGTCATATATTCTATTGAGGAGTCTTGGTACAACCGGAAATACTGTTGGCTTCAAGGTTTTCATGTCATCCGTTAGTAATTTGATGTCTCCTTGGAAGAAGCCCACTTTTCCTCCACAGCTGTATATCACAGTCTGAAAATTGACCAGATGTTAGCCAAGGATAATTCACAGCTTCATCAGCCACAATAATTTTCTATGGAAAGCTGCTTGATTTCCAGTGACCAGCAGTAGTATAGGTCTTGAAGAAATACAGAAAGCTTGGGAAAGGTTGGGAATGGTCTCCAGGACAGTCTTTTAACCTCCATTACATGTCATAGCCATTTAGGTATAACTTCTAATAAGTGTTACTTTCAACAAATTTATACATTCCACAAAGTCTTAGTAGCATGTACATAATCTACTTACCTGTACAACTCTCTCAAACATGTGAGCCAACGGAAGATAAGATATGCTGACATCTGAACTTGTACACTCAACCGTGTCCTACAGATGAAAGAAACAGAAGCACATCAACACTCTGTATGCCTACTTGAGAAGAAAATTAATAAAATTTGGACAAATTTGAATAATTTGAAATAGATGCTTTTAAAAGACTGAAGCAACTCAAGCTCATCCATCATCTCTTCAAAATCTGCAGCTGCAACTGTGTGAAGTTTGGGACAGGATACTAAATCAGGTTTAATTTCATGTTTCAGCAAACTAAAAATATGGTAGTTTAGTTCTCTTGGCATATAGGTCTGGCTGAAGAACTCCTCAAAGATCAAAACAACTTGTTTGCAGTACCATTCTGCCTTGGAAACATGGGCACTTAGGAAAGCATGTGTATATTGGGAATTCATAGTTTGTATAAAATGCCCACAATAAAGCCATTTTCATAATAGTCACATAACCTGGAGATGACTGTTAGCAATAGCTTACCTCTATGGTTCTAAGGAAGCCAGCAGCATTTGCAACAACATTTTCATGTGTCAGCATGGCACCTTTAGGGTTACCTTTGGAGAAATCAAAGTCAGCTGTGGGTCTGACTGCGCTTGCAGTCAGTTGCCTACAGTTTGCTTGGCTCAGTCATTTCAAGCTATCTTGATATTAGGCTTAGTCACATCATACACTGTCTTAGGAAATTACAAATATGCCTCATCCTGAGTGCTTTCAATTGTAGATATTACATAAAAGCAATGTCTACTGTAACACCAGAGAAATTAGGAGTAGCACAGAGAATGCTGAAACAACGTGCTTCTATAACCCCTGTGGATCAGAATACAGACACAGTTAAACAACCAGGCCCTCTTTATTTAAGGCTAAGATCTCATATGTTGTCTTACCTTATGAAAAATACATCTGATTAGTCTCCCCTCCCTCAGATCTAAGAAGTTCTGTCTTTGTGCACTTCACTTGTACTGACAATGTCCTAAGTAGAACTGCAGTAGTGGCTTGATATGATTCTAGCTTCTTGATGTTGTTAGAATTTCATTTTTTGCACTGGGTACTAAGTGTTTTTAGCACAGAGTGTTTTAATAGAGAAGCATCAATATGCAGTCTCTTACCTGTTGTTCCACTGGTAAAACACACAAGGCAAAGATCTTCAGGACTAGGAGGCTAGATGGAAAAAGCCACATCAGGGCAACAGTGTAAGGATTATTATGTTACTAGTCAGTATTTATATATGCTTACTAAAGGGGGATCAATCAGGAGTTCTGTTTGGAAACAGCAAGGCAAGATACAAAAAAATCCTGCCAACCTCCTTTCCTAGCAGCCTGGCAAGAGGTTTTTTCAGGAACTAGTTTCTCAAGTTTAGAACTGTTCCACAGAGATACTTACAACTGGTTTTCTGATGTTGTTTCTTCCCAGCTCCTAGATTAGAGAAAACAAAACTTAAGATTGCAACATAAAAATGCGCACCAATAGTACTGGAGTAGATAAATAGATTTCAAATGTGATAGTTTCAAGAATCCAAGTGAAAAATCATTTTCAGTGAGAGAAGTTGGCCTTCCTGCATTTAGTACCCATAGTTTGAAAAAGATGACTCCTGAGATTGTGAAAAGTATGAATTTGACCATGTAGAAAGTGATCAGAGCTACTGAAGGAATTTGGAAGTACTGAATGGAGATTTTTCATTTTATTCAATGTAGTCCACATCTCTTACACTCCATATTTGCACCTCAAATCTGGAAATTAAACCTAGTATTGGTGTATCAAAGTAGTCAGTAATTTGCACATAAAATTTCAAGTAGACTCAACTGTCAGCTTAGAAGCCTGATAAATCCTTTACAACTACAGCATAGAATCATAGAATCACCAAGGTTGGAAAATACATCCAAGATCATCCAGTTTAACTGTCCATCTATTACCAGCATTTCTCCATTAAACCATGCCCCTTAGTGCAACATCTAAATGTTGAACACCTTCAGGGACAGTGACTCAACCACCTCCCTGAGCAGCCTGTTCCAGTATCTGATCTCTCTTCTGGGGAAAAAAAATTTCCTAATATCCAACCTGAACCTCCCCTGGCACAACTTGAGGCCATTCCCTCTAGTCATGATATTAGTTACACAGAGAAGAGGCCGACCCCCACCTTGCTTTTCAGGTAGCTATAGAAAGCAGTAGGGTCTCCCCTGAGCCTCCTCTTCTTCAGACTAAACAATTCCAGTTCCTTCAGCTTCTCCTCATAAAACTTGTGAGATATGCTAAGGAAATTAGTGCATGCTGAGTGTTTACAACACTTGGGCACAACTTCTGTCAATGGTTTGAACTAATGGTTTTTGACTAATATATAAGTTTCAAAATGACTGCTCATTGAGTTCTCAGATACAGGCGTGACAACTGGATAATGCTTACATTAAAGTGTTATTGTTGCCAGAAAAGTTCCAGATGTCTAGCTGGCAAGGTATTCCTCTGCAAGATCAAGCAGAAGTCTTCAGTCACCTACCTCAGCCTCCTGTAGTGCTAGAATTTCAACTCCCACTTTAGCTCCTCTCTCCTTCAGCTCTTTATCAAAGAGATCCATAAGAATTATAGTCTTCAGGCATGGGGTCTTTCCTTGCTCACAGTTCCCAAGCAAGATCTGTGCCTTGTCTGGCGTGTCGCAAATCACTATGCCTATGTAAGCTACCGAAAAGAAATTACATTTCACAGTTTGTTATGAGGACATGAGATACTAATGAATGACAACACAGCAGAACATATACTTACACTATAACATTCATTTATGTACATGTAATTGATTTATATTCATAATATTGATAAATCCATTTCGATTTGGTTCATATGAATTCACTGGCTGGCTTGACATTGTTAAGAGGGTTTATTCTCACTAAAGCCAGCAGACTATATAGGACAAATCTCAGGTCTAGTCAAAGTGAAGACCTTATGCTGATGAACTGAAGATAAACGTCTTCAGTCACAATCAAAACATGTACTTATTCTTTTGGTGTTAACATAAAAAACTTAGATTTGTCCTCACTGATTATTTATTTTTAGCTATCTTCTTTAAGTCTAAGGAATTTCAGATTAGGTTGAAAGAGGTAGCTCAAATGTAAGTTAATGCCTCAAATTCCTTGCATAAACAAGAGTTTTATGCAATTACAAAATTGTTAAGACAGCAGAGAAATTGGATTTGTCTGAACATGCTGGTTCCCCACTAACCTAGTGAGTCACAGCTGTGTAGTCTTAAAGCAAAACCTGTTGGCAAGATTTGCCAGCATAACTGTTGAAGTGATTTTGCTTGGCAAATCCTGTTCATAGGTGGCAGCCTAGCTAGTTGTGACAGCAGTGAATTTTTATTTCCTCCTTACCCTGATCTTCTCTCACTCTAGGGAGAGAAAGTTTGAAGTTGTATTCAAGCTCCCTCATACCAAGTTTTTTCTCATAATGGCACACTAATTGCTACTTCTGTAGAACTAAACAGATAGCTTTAGGCTACTCTCTACCCTCCACACTTTACATCCTAGAATTTTTTAAATCAGACATGCATCTAGTCTTAATTTGCACGCAAGTCTGTCTGTATTGTCTGATTGGTTGGCAAACAGAGTGGGAGTTCAAGATTGGCAAACCTCAAACAAACAACAGTTTTTGAACCCTTTGATTGCACCATGGTCCACAGATTCTAGAAGATCTTCTGTGGACTTGCACCCAAGATACTAGGAGATAGAAGAGGCAGAGTGTTTCCTCTAGGCATTAAATCATATACCCTACAAAGTGACTTTACAGAAACAAAGTGTCTATACAACTACAGGTCAAAGCTACTCTAATTTTTGCATCAAATTCTTTGTTCTTCAGTGTTCCCAAAACAAAGCTTCTTAAAGAAATTGTTATTATAAAGTAGTTGAAGTCAATGTTTACCTTTGTTAACAATATATAGAATGGCATCTGGCCCCAGGGTGTCATAGAGTGGAACAGCAACCATTGAGTAAGTGTAGCAGGCATACTCAGAAATGATCCACTGAAGAAAGAAAAAAGAGCTGAGGTATACTAGCAGCTTACAAAACAAGGTTACCTGAAGATTTCATACAGCTTAAATAACCCATACACATTAGTAGTGGTGTTTCTATAAGCAGTGTGTCTATGAAGTTCTTACAGTATCAAAGGTTCAAGATCATCATTACGTGCCCAGCACAGTATGTACCCCATCAGTAATAAGGGAAATGGGAGAGGAAAATCCAGTTGTAATCATTCTTCATTTGGTCTCAAGCTATTTAACTTGCAAGTTGAGCAGACCCTCTTCTCCCCAGGATGTCAGAATTTTGGGGGAAATAATACTTTTTTTTTTTTTGCTTACCTCTGGCCTATTCTGAGCAAAAATGCCAATAAACTGATCTGGTGATGGTTTACATCCTTTCTGCAGAAGCCCTGATCCCAGATGTTGAGCTCTATCCAAAACCTGTAAGAAAATTGCCCCCTGCTTTAGTGCTACAAGACAGCACTCCAAGTTAGACTATCTGTCATGTACAACACTCACCTGTTTGTATGTCAGCCACTGATAAGGTTGGTTGGGTTTTCTGTATCCTAAACAGTTGCCATTTCCTAATGGAAAAGTTCAAAAAAACAGCTCTAAAGCTCAATATTGAAGCTGCATAGTAGTTCAAAACAACACTGGTAAATGGAGATTGTTTTCAGATGTCCATTTAACTGCATGGAGCATTAAGGTGTGCAGGGTCCACTGTTAAGTACTCTGCACAAACTAAAGTTATAAGGCTGTTTGCTTCATCCTGACAAGCAATACTTCCAGTGTCTGGCAATATTTTCCCATTTCATCCAGCTGAGCTTGAAATAGCTTGCAGGCTATCATGTATTTCCATGTCTGCAATCCCTGAAACCATACAGACAGGAACACACTGCTATTGTAAGCAGGCAGTAATTTAACGCTAAAAATAAATGCTTCATAAGACAAAGCAGAGGGATTTTTTTGCTCCTCCCTTCCTACCCCACCCCAAACTTAGTGTTGCTATCTTCACTGAATTCTATCACTGCTGATGTTTGCTCCTGTGCAGTCTGCCAACTAATCCTACTTCCATAATGGTGGGGGAGAAACGTGGTCGCTTATCACTTCACCTCACAGAAGTTTAGGAAAACTTTTTGCTAGCCTTAATTATTACTATTGGCAAGGGGCAAGACAAAAAGTTCTGGAACCATTTCATTTACTTGTGAAATGTTAAGTATCAACTAGCAGCTGCAAAGCTTACCAGAAGCATGCAGTCCTCTCTGGAAAGCTTCATACAAGGTTTTAGTATCTTCAAAGTAATAAGAAAGCAGGTTATTATCTGTCAAGAGTGCAGCTCTTCTCGCTCCTCCCTAGGAACAGAGCATAGTTATGAATTAGTGCAGAGCAGATGCAATGCTATTTGTTCCAGCCAATCCCAGCAGTCCCCTTTAAAGCATTTGAATATTATTGCATTGTTCAGGAAGTTTCATTTTCCTTCCTGGTTTTGATCTACTCAGATACTACTCGTATGCAGAGGAATTTTCTAGATTACCCAGATTAATATTCAGCTGTAGATTATTAAACAGACCTTGACTAACATTAAGCGTTACTACTTGCACAGTTACATGAAGTCTGGCATCTTGGTCTATCATTAGCCACGAAACTAATGAAAAGCATTTATAGTACAGGAAAAAAAGTCAGTGACAGCCAAGGACTTTTTGTAAAGAGCACACCTAACCCTGTTGGCAAGAGTTTCTGTCTCTTCCTCTTGGTGTCATAAGACTTCCTTTCTATGCACAATACTGCTGAGTTGCACAGCAGAGAAGGTGGTGTATAGCAGAGAGTTTCCACTGATATCCAGAGTCAAAATAGATTGGTATTTAGAGCAAGTTTGTCAGAAATAGTCCATCCCCACAAGAAGAATAAGCATTACCTCAATTCCCACTGACTGCTTGTTCAAGTCAACAGGAGGTAAAACAGGCTTTGGCCTGCTTACCACCCAGAGGAAGATGAGAGCTCCAAATGCAATAAGAGTAAACAGTGCTGGTGTTGGGAGCGGTGAAAACAAGACCTGAAGTATCCAGATCATTGTGCTGGATCAGTGCAGCCAGAGTTGAACCTGAAACAAACAAGGTTTAGTAGGTACGAGTTCGAAGCACTCACTACCTGTAAGCCAGGGTTAGTTAAGTACTTTGTTAAGCAATACTACGGATCGTTTCAGCTGTTTGCACCTAAGGACTCCTGGTACAATAATAAAGTATGCTTATGCAATGCTTTAAGCCTCTTAGGAGATCTCAAGTCACCTGTCTCTGTAAATCTTAATCCATTCTGCATCCACCTCCACAAAAAGCTGAAGTCCAATGATGTCAGGCAGGCAAGAAACAAATGTCAACTTTTTCCTATTCAAGACTAAAAATCTGCCTCATTTATATATGTACATCAGTATACATATATCTCTCAGATCAAGTATTAATTAAAAAAAAAAAAAAGCCTATTGTTCAGATGTGAACAGTGGAAGAAAAACACAAGATTGCAGTTGTCCAACAGCAGGAGGTATTGCTAAAGTACACACAGGTGTAAAGACCGTGTAGCAGTCTGCAGGAGAAGCAGTGTCTTCATGATCAGCTGCTCTTACTGGAAATACAGTCTATGCTGGGGAAGTGTTTCTCATGCTGGCAGTGTGCTCTGCATGAGATACTGTACAACTCCAAACTTTGGATTTCTGCTCTCAAAACTAGGGACCTAGAAATCAGAGGAGGCAACTGAAATCTTGCTGGGAGATACAGAAGCAGTTTTGCTGCTTGCATCTTGTGGCATCTCTTCCTTCACGGGCAGGCAGGTAAGCAGAAAACTGAGAATGAGGATTTCCTCACAAGAGATACAAAGAGGCTACCTCAGGTTCCCCCTTAGAATCAAGTACTTTAATTTCTGAAGTGCTCTGATACGTTTCAGATTGAATAGCCAATGCAAATCTAGCACAGGTGACTACATTTGATCTAAGTGAACTGACTTATCTCTCCTAGTATCTAAATAGGTGTGCAGGACATGACACATCACACTTTACAAGGTGAATAACTGCACTCCTTCCAAGTCCTTCATGATTAATTGAGGAAATCCAGTCAGTAGATAATATGCCAGCTAGCAACTAACTACATTCCTATACAGGAATACTGCCAAGCATTTTGGAATATGAGCTCCAGGTTTCCTCCCATTAGAAGAACCCAAGAAAGTTGAAGGTATTTTTCAAACAGTCAGTAAATTCAGCCATGCCCAAAAGTCAGAATTTGGATCACCACATCCAGACTGAGCAGGGCTAGATCACCTGCATCACATTTATAGTTTTGTAGCTCTCAATTTCCAGTGACTGTTAATTGACAGTCCTGATGTGTTCTCTGGTGACAAACACATGCTTTGGCGGCTCATCATCTGGATAAGAAAGGTTACCTTGGAGGCTTGTTGTTGAATCCACACTACCAAAAGTACATCACCTGAAATGTACCAACTCCCTAGACCTACTTATTTTGAGTTACAACGTGCACATCAAACCCTTGATCTTCTCAGATCATCATCTCAGATACTGAAAGGTCTGCCCCACCCAAAATGGTGCTACAGCAAGAATGGCTAAAGCTCCTGCCTCATGACTCTGCATTGATTATCATGTCTGGCCACTGGACATACCACACCTAACAAGTATAGCCCTATTTTTTTCAGCACAGACTATTGCACATCTGTGCCCCCTTCCTTTGACTTCTGTCAGGTAAGTCTAGGGAAAAATAATCTTTGAAAATAAAGCCTGCTGAGGAAGTCTGAATTCATGTCAGACACCTAGAAGTCTGTTACTCTTATTTGGAAGATTAAGGAGTTGGTAAGATGAATTTGTTAGGCAACTACTCTTCATTTTTTGGACTTGTAACCCAATACTGCAGCAGTTAGTAAACAGCTTTCTGGAGGTGATCAAACAGTATGTAGTTTGTATGTATGTAGTCAACCACTTTTTTGTTACAGTATGAGATCTGAGGCAGCTTGGTGGAGGCATCTCCACTGCTCAACGTAAAAAGGAATTCAGTATACAAACTTTATTCCTTTAACTCAGAGCCTATTCCCAGATATCAGTGGCAGAACAAATCACATTTGAACCACTTGTATGCTGGAAGCTTACTTCATAGGAAGATGGCAAAACTAAACCTTGGTACATCTATGCTCCATCCTCTTAGAGGGATACCAGAGTACTCATGTCCAATTCCTGTGGATTTTCATTCATAGCTGTATGGGAACTGTTGAGTCACAGCCTGAACCACTGACTGAGCACCTGGGGAAAGGACCCAGTCAGCCCTTGGGGTACAGGTGAAGGCAACTCATCTGTCCAGAAGGGTTGGAGCCTGGCTCTACCTCTTTCAGAACTCATTTAAGGGCTGACTGTTACAGAGGAAAGATCTCTTTCTGGAGATCCCTCCCTGGTGGAACTTTCTCCTGTGAACCTAGAATCTTCTGATACAGCTGAGTAATCTTCTTCCCTTCCTTTATAGCACCTTTCTATTGTTGCCTTTTATCATCACACCTTTGTTGTAACACCTTTCCTACTATATTTATCTGTCCAATTGCTACAATAGTAATCAACTTTTGACATCTTTTTCCATCTTTAGATAGGCCAAAATGAGATTCAACTTGGGGTATTTCAGATGTCTCCTTCCTGGGCATGAAATTCTTTTGACCAGCATTGAGGATAGAGCTATGTGTAGGCTACTGGAAAGACTACATACCTGCATAGCTGAACAATATTGAATGAATTGTGCTCTCATGTTCTTGTTTTAATAGTACTCTAATGACTATTTCCTAGATAACAGAAAAGATTAGCTACCTCATTAACTCACATGCAAGGCAGTTTATGCCAAGATATCCAAAAAGACTGAACAACTGAGCCTAGAAGGATAAAGATATTTGGAGTAGCGATCTCAAAGAAGCCCAGTGAGAAAATCTGATCAAGAGAAGCCTGAAGATAACTAAATGTAGAAAAGATTTCGTCCTCAGAAAAACCTGCTAGTAGTCTTATCCCAGCATAATCTACTCAGCATTCCTACATCCTGAAATCATCCTTGATAGGCCAAAACAAAGCAATGTTTAATTTAAAGATCCTATACCAATCTAATCTCGTAAGTCTGGGAAATACATTCATTTGCTTCTATTTTTCTGGCAACCATAATAACTAGCCTGCTTACAATACTGAAACTAGATATGCAGGAATCAAAACTTAATGTGCTTTAAAACCATGAAATTACTGTTTTGTCAAAAAGCACATATACCTGGATCTTCACATTATATACACACACACACAGCTTCGCTTGCCTGAAAGACTATTTTAAATGACCATATGTTATGAAGGAACAACATTCTGCTTTTACTTTCCAACTGTTTCCACAGGTGGGCTTTAGCCACTCCTGTCAAAGTACATGGAGTGTTATTCAGGCTGTGGGAAGAGACCATCAGCAAATTTGTCTCAGTTTCCATAACCAGGCCAATTGTCTACTATGCCTAGAATTTATACTATAAATACCTGTGAGATCCAAAGCACTGCTGGTTAGCTACTTCTGGCACTGTCCAGAAGGCACTTAATCCTGCTGTCCTGATTGCAGAAGACCCAGCCAGCAGAGACAGAAATTTTTCTTCATGAGTCTTCTAAGCATGGAAATAAAAGAGCTCTTCCTTAAGTCCAAGCTTTGGAGCAACTACACCAGAATTCAACCCAAAACTCTGGGTCCTCTATATATGGATGATATCTGGTCCATACAGACTGACTGGAAATGTTACTCTGTGTAGCATGCAACAGTGTCACAGCATTTCTGACCATGAGCCTGAGCTCTAACTTTTTTAACCATGTAGAAAGGTTGGAGTGCTTTAAACCCGAGTTTTGAGGGACTTAACTCCCTGTGACTAGAAAATGCATAGGATGTCTCAAATCACCTCTGTTGGTCCCCCCGTGCAACAGGAGGTGAGACAATTAAAGTGTACTTCAACTGTCTGGCCTGATCAGTGATCAAGGATAAGGTGCACTGGGATCAAGAGTGCGAAGGCTTAGGCTTTCCCCATCCCTCTTTTTTGTCAGAGGAGATTATAGTAAGTCCAGTCTTGAGTTCAGGACTGTGTGTTCTCATCTCTACTGTACCCCACTTTCCAAATCCCCCATACTCTCCAGGGCAATTCCTTCATTGGCTAGAAGGAATGAAGGAGCATTTTTCTCTATTCTCTCCAAGGCAGCAGGCATTGGTAAGTAACTAATTCTATGATTTCAAGCACAAAAATTTGAAGAAAGAAAATTTATCTCACTGTAGATCTTTACAGGCAACAGATCTCTGGTCCTTGTGCTATTTTAGGGGCAAAGGTCATGCTCTGCCTATGAGATCTTCTAAGATTATATTTTTTGTCTTAAGTTTGCTTAAGAAACACACACACACACACGCTTTTGAGGTAATTGTGAAATCAGCATTAGTAAGGTAACATGCTGACACTTTCCAAGCAGAAATAGAATGTAACCAACTGCTCTGAGGTCTTTATTTAGTTAACCACCATTATTTCACTCCTGACATTTGCTTTCCCACAGTGCAGCTCTTGCCTGGTCTGCAGATGTGAGCTAGTGAGTTGGAAGCATTATGTCCCATCTTTCTTCAGCTCAGCAAGAAGTGTGTGTTCTGAAGGACTTAGCATCCAGAAAGAGGCTTAAGAGCAAGACCTGAGCAGCAATTGCTGAGTGCAGCCATGTACGGACCACATCACTTATTAATATAATGCCCTAGTAGATGTGAGACTTTAAGGACAAATCATATTGCTGACTCGGTTATGTAAAGAGAAATAAAATCCCAGAGTTAACAGCCACAGCTTTTCACAGAACCCTGTTTAGAGGCAGACATGTCTAAAGCAGAATCCACAGAGTCTCACTTTAGGAAGGCTTTGCTTTTGGAGCGTAACAGTTTAAGTGCCCTCTGTTTGCCTGAGAAGTACTCTGCTATCAGCCGGGAAAGCACGAGGTCCCAGTCATTTACATCCAGGAAGTACAGCACTCAGACTGCGTTATGGCCTATTTCTGAACCCGCCTCATGAAACCTATTCAACTCAGGCTTTCTGTATGCTAAAATAGAAAGTTGATTATGATAAGAAAATGTACAGTGTCTGATATTTCTGTCCCTTCATCAGGAACATCATGACACCATGACGCTGCTTTGTCAGAAAACTTCAAAAGTCAAGCTTTTGTGTACATTTTATTTCAGGCTTTCTCCTTGAAAACTCCCTGTCCAAAAGGTGTATCAGGCACACACAAAGACAGAACATATTCAGCTCCCTGAAGTTCTGAAGAATCATAAACATAGTTAACTTAATCAGTTTTGTTACCGGTTGTTCCTACTAGATAATATAGCACAATATCCTCACCAAATACACTTGTACCTGCACTACTGGTACATTAATGGGAAATTATCTCCAAGCGTGTTCAAAGATCTAGAACAAAAGCCCAACTTAGAATTGCCCAAAGAAAACCAGAATGTAGCAGTTTACAGAGTACAGCCAACAGTAAGAATTTTTAAATATTGATGTTTTTTATGACAACTTATTACAGCAGTTGTATCACCCAGAGCAAAGAGCAAATACATATCTGAATTTAACTAAGCTTAAGATTAGCATCGTGCCGATGGTGGTTCTCCTGGAGCTCTCCTACCCGGTTCCTGATAAACACGTTACCTTGAACCCCTTGAACTGAGCTCTGCATTTGCACATGGGTAATGCTGAGACTTCCGTGAGCAACCACCAGCAGGGCCATGAGCAATGAAACAACAGTAGACCTTTAATGCTTCTGCATTTTAGAGCAAGCACAGAGGGAAAAAAAAAAAAACAGCAATCAAAAGCACGTACCATTTCGTTGACGGGGCAGGAAGCCAACCTCTTTTCCTTAAGTAAAAGGAAGCTTTATAAGCATAATAGCAAAACAAAAACAATTAGATAGCGTTCACGTGAAAGCTACAGCTTGTTCCCTCTCCCTGGTTTAAATAAATCAACGAGCAGAAAAGCATGCTGGGAACAAAAGGGGGAAGTGAAGTGGTTAGAAAAGAATTTGCTGCGAAGGGCTGGTGGTAGTTTTGGTTTTGGTTTGGTGAGGCAAGAAGGGTAAAGTTTCTGAAGAATCTGATGAAAAATATGATGTTTGTAATTTACCATTTCTGTCCCATAATAACCACAATCTAGTTTCTTTTCTTCCCCCTCTACATAAAGCTGTACTTTCAATATTAGGGATTTTCTCTCTATAGCTGTATTGTGAGTTAAAGTGAGCAGGGATTTGCAGCTGTACTAGTAACAAAATGCTTTGAGTACAGTATTTTTCACCCACTGGTGTAATACTTATTGGTAGTCTGGATCCTGGTTTCTTCTCTTTTTCTCTTTAGAAGCTGCCTTGTCTTTCTAAAGTGCTTTCTGCTGTACTATAGTCACCTATGTGCAGTTCTTTGCACAAATTCATGTTGAATCGTGCTTCAAACTCTACTTCCTGCTCCAACAGAGATTTGCTTTCTGCATACGCTAGGCTGCTGTAGCTTTTTTTTCTCTCCTGTGCTCTGCCAACATTGCTGAAATGTTGCAGCAGGCTTTGAGGGCTGGGAAGGTATTAAATTCACCTACATGCTCTCTTTAATGTCTGGACCTCAGATCCTGGAAATGGTTTTGCACATCTCAGATTGCACATCTGAAAGCTTTCCTATACCGTATGATTTCAGAATAATGTACACCTTGCTAGAATAAACTATAGCTAAAATGGAGTAATACAGTGTAATAGTGTGCAACATGCCCTGGACCTTGGCTTGCTAAAGCATTCAGCTCTACTAATTGCTGTTGTTTTCAATGCTGCTTAAACTATACATTAATTGGGTAAAGCTAACTTACACTGTAATTGTGGCATTATTTAGCAGTGCAGATAGACCTTTAGGAAAGCTGATGATTAAATTCCTGATTTTGCCATGAGCTTTGAATGAACATGAAAAAGAAACAGCTTGCTCTGCATGGAATTCCTATACATTTGGCTTTGTCTCCTCAGCTGCTCCTGTGGCATTTAAGTGAAGTTGTGACCTTCAGCTCTTATAGTGCCAGTCAGGGTGCTCCTACACCTGGAGGAAGGCAGTGTTCTTACAGTGAAGGCAAGGAAAGCCAGGCTTCCAGCCCAGGTACTTGCATTAACTTCTTTGAGTGCTTCTCTGAGGCGTTCCCCCTTCAGAAATCTGGCCTCAAGTAGTTACCTGCATCTTTCATATCCACTAACAAGTTAAGATGTGCAGTAAGTAGAGTATGTATAGACAAACTTTAATTTTTTGTTTTCTGTTGTTACTGTCATAAAAGGTGGGATAAAAAGAGCTTTTATAACTAACCATAAAGTCGTGGCACAATATGAGCATCAACTGTCCAAATATTCTGTCTACCTACAGCAAATAGCAAAGGATGTAAATAAATGAAGAGGAAGCATTAGCCCAGTTCATGGCTTTGTTGTAGCTTCAAGACTTGGATCTTGATAGTGTGAGTCTGTGCAAAATGTGGGCTCACTTTATTGGTAGGGTTTTTGAATTTCAGTTTTCTTAATGCTATAAAATTAATAGTTCTTTATTACTCTGCTACTTTTTTTTTTTTTTTTTTTTTTTTTGTTTTTTTTTGTATGTCTGTTGTAAACAAATAAAATGCACAGGGAAATAAATAATCTCACTGGGTTCCTCAGGGGATGCACTGAGCAGGATGATGGACTACGGCTTGGAAGAGCAGCACACGTTTTGCCAGGTCTCACTTGCAGCTTGATTTCTGGTTAACCTCTCTGCTATCCCCTCCTCTGTTACAGCTGTAGATCTATGCACAAGCAAGAGATTGGAGAGGCCTCCATCTGTATAACTGTGAAAGCTGTGCTTTAAAAATGTTTAATAATTAAAAAAAAAGGCATTATAGCTAGCTTCTGTGATTTTAGTTAGGGACTAAGGTCCTGTTGTACTGAATATGGCCAAAAAGCTTGTGCATCTACCAATCTAGTGTATAGTAATATTTTAATGAACTACAAAATCTGCCTCTGGTGCTGTGGAACCAAATGATGGCTCATTTTCTGTCACTCTGTTTTCACCTACAGTCTGAATGGGAGCCTGGCACTGGTACTCTGCACACTGTATCTTTAAATAGTCAAAACTGATAAGAGAGCAGCCTCAGCATGGATGGACGTCAGATTTCCAGTTCCAGTCTATAGCAACAGGGAGTGTTCAGGTGGTTGCTTTTGCTTGGGCTTTTATTATGGCTGTGATTTCTTTGTATGCCTCTGTGAGCTCAGACTTGGTCCTTCCATAACAGACAGCCAACTCCTTGGCTGTTGGCTTTAAAAGCACACAACGTGACAAGAGCAGTGCACTTGGATCCCAGCACTGCAGCGATTTAAGGCTGTTTTACTACTTGCTGTGCTTCTCTGCAGAAGCAGGAAGGTCAGTACTTTGGAAGGTGTAGGCAAAAGAGATTTGCTTACCTTTGTCCACGCAAAGGAGGGCCCAGCACAGCTGATTTGCTTCACTGCTTTACAACTCCAAGGGGGGTGTTGAAGGGTTGGTGCTTCCCCAGCTCCCGTGGCAGGACTGAGCCCCGAACCATCGGTGTGTGGCTTTAATAAACAGGCAACACTGCACCCAGGTAACCCTTGAACCTGCGTTGCAACAGGTTCAAAGGTAAAAATTATTCCTGATCAAATATAAAGAGCAATTTTGGCTGGTTAGAGATGTTAAACATACAGCTCTTGTGCAACAGCTTTCGAAGAGGGCAGCACACTGTGAAAGTGAACCCTATTCTTGCAAGAGCTGCACACTTGGATTTTCAATAGGGCTCTTATTAATTGTGAGTACAGATGGAGCACAGAGTGTTATTTTGCAGAGACAAGGTGCCTCCTGGATTGCATGTAGAGTTTGCAAACATATCCTTACGTTTTTCCCTGTTGCTTTGTGGAGGTGCTCCTTCTCTAGCATGTCTGACTGCTGAGGAATGGGTTTCCCTTGCAGCTCAAGTGGTCCACAAAGAACCATGTTCCTTTATGGCAGGAGCTCTGAGCACAGTTAGGATATACACAATAGTTATCTTACCATTATATATCTTTGCATCTAAAGATGTACAAATAATATTTACTTGCTGAACGAACAAGCGCAGTTTGATGCCCATGATGCTAGGCTAAGCCTAGTCCAACAGGGATTTATATTCATTTAACCATTTGCATTTATTTATTTTTTGTCTTCCTCCTTCTATGAAAGGTGTTGTGCTTAATGCTGATGGAAAACAGGCTATAAGGTACTGGCACTGAGCAGCTAGGTGAAACTTCTTGGCTTCACTTCCTGAGGCTGCAACCTTTGGAAGAGGTTTGCAGCTTGGGATCTGAAAACCAAAGCTAAAAATTCCGAAGTTCTTTAATATTGTTAGGACTGGTCAAGATCACAAAGCTTTTGTTGATTTAGGTCTGGTTTGACTAGACCTGAAATTTAACTTATGCATAATGTTTGAATTATAACATATTACTACTTTTTACTTGAGATCCCAAGTATCTTTGACTGGGGTGGGAAACCTGCTCATTGTTAACACACTGTTAACACAAGTAGAAGCACCTGTGCTAGGAGTGCCAGAATCGGGCTCCCATCAGTGCTGCACCACTTATCCACCTACACCTTCTGAGCTGCAATATCCTCTAAGTTTTTAGAAAATGACAGTTTTGGGAAGGATAAAAGAATGAGTGGGACTGCTCAAAGCTTGCTGTAAAGAGATAATAATCGTGTTAAGGTCTCTTGGTTCTGGTCTGTGGTGCCTCCAGAATGAGAGAAATTAAACAACTGATTTAATTCTGCATGAGGTATGCAGTAGATATTAAGATTAAAAAAAAAAAAAAAAAAAAAAAAAAAAAAGAAGAAGAAAAAGAAAAGATTAGTTGGGTAGATCCTTATATTCAATATAAGTGGGTATTGCCTCATTGTCTCTAAAGAGCTAGAATTACTGACAGTGTTTTTGGCTCTAGATATATCTTAACTTGCATACAGATGCACGATGGAAGCATAGCAAGGAGACAACCAAACCAGGTATGTAAGATACCTGTATGTGCTAGGCTGTAGCTTCTTTCTTCCTAGTGCATAAGGTATGTGTCTTTTTACATCTTTTTAACAACAGATTAATAAGTTGTGGTGTTTTGTCACCTTTCACCCATAACGTTTCTTCCTGAAGAATGAAAACGAATGGTTTACTGCTAAAACAAGAGCTGAGAGTAGTAGGCGTTTCTGAGCAATGAGTTTGTCATCTCTGAGACGGGTAGGTTGGGCTCTTAAGTAAGTCTCAGTCTTGCTGAGTTGTTAATGGTGGTAGACCTTTTCCTGTTTCTTTTGAAAGCAGGTGTGAGAAAACATTTACCCATGCCCTGAAAAACACCTGGGTTTATGTTCTGTATTGCAAACTTGTTTGTATGCATTATCTGTGTTCCCTGTTGTTTCCAAATGAGTGATGTCTTAGTTTGTGATCTCAGTGACTAGAACGCACGACCAGTGACATAAAAGAGGCTGTAACAGTTGTGGAAATATTACCTATGTCCCAGTTTTGTAAAGGAGGAGCTCAAGGTAGAACTTGTCACAATTAACAAAAGCTGTTTTTCCAGGAGGTAGGAAAAAATCACCAATATTTTCATGAATGAAAATTAAATTAATTTCTCCCTCAAGACTATTCTGAAGAAAACAGATGACAAATGACAGGAAGAATTCTTTATAGACCAGCAGGGATCACATAAATAGTATCAAGTTAAGAATTTCTTAGAAAGTAGTTTTCTAATTTAAATGGAAATCTTTGGGCAGGATGTGATTCAAAATATTTATTCAAAATTAGTAATTTTTGACAGATGTCTGCATTTAGTGGGTTTTTTTTTTTAAGTATGTGACAATCCAAATTTTCTTTGGCTGACTTTTATTGGTGATAGAAAGCTTAATACTTTGCTTCCTTGGTTTAAATTAAT